GAAATAATTTTTCAACCCAGAGATAACCAGACTTAACACTTCTGCTTATATATATATATATATATATAGGGGAGTCTTGTTATTTAAAATATATTTTCTGTTTTTTTATTTTTTTTTATTTTTTGGCCTTTTACTTACAAAAGTAATCATGAATGTCATAAAATAGTCACACAGTATTGAAGCATAGAGAGTAAAGAGTGAGAGTGCTCGGCCCTCCCCTCCTCAGACGTCTCTTAGGTGATGTTCCTGAGGTGCTTCTGTGCACGTACAGTGTTGCAGCTTTTAGATGCCTCTGGTCCAGGTAGGCTCATTAGGGCCCTCTGTGAAATTACAGGCACCATCAGTGTGTGCCATTGTTAATGATGCTCTTTTACTGCAGGAGAATCTGCTTGGCTGATTTTTCAAACCACCCAGTTCCACCTGTATCAGTCTTCTCTTTACTGACACCAGATCAGTTCTGCTCCCTCCTTGAGAGGTAGCCCTTATGGGTTTTTTGTAAGGAAAGTAAGAACTGCAATTCTTAGTCAACGCATGAACATATTAAACTGGGCTTCTGCAGTTCTTTTGTGGATGGCAGCCCAGCATATTCTAGCTGTCATGTGGTTAGTTTTAAAAGTTTACTCTTACTTTGAGAGAACTTCTCACTGTGCCCATCCCTCTCCATTCCCAGCCACCCCATCAGTCAGCCATACGCTTGGTGATCTGTTGTCATTTGGATGTGTAGTCTTCTACGGCTCCTGCTTGTCCTCCCCTAAGCATCTGAACTGATGAGGGCCATGCACTGGGGCACAGATGTTACTATAACATTGAAATCCTTGAAACCCAGGCACTGCACACACATATGATCAAGGCACTCTGCATGCATGATCAAGACACTCCACACTCATGATCAAGAGTGTTTAGGGGGCCACATCTGAGAAGTGTTTCTGCCCACTGAGTCTATACTGCTGTCCTTCTATATTTGGAAGGCACCCGTTCACCTAGCCCTAGAAAGGGTGCATGCAAGTTGTTGTCTTCTTATCATTGAAATCTCTTTTCTTGCTGTTCCAGACAGCCGCCTGAAGCTCAGCCAAGCCCAGGGGAACCTGTCGGTTCTGGAAACCCAGCAGGTGCAGCTGGAGTGTGTGGTCCTGAATCGCACCAGCGTGGCCTCCCAGCTCATGGTGGAGTGGTTTGTTTGGAAGCCCAACCACCCAGAGCGGGAGACTGTGGCCCGCCTCAGCCGTGAGGCCACTTTCCACTATGGAGAGCAGGCGGCCAAAAACAACCTGAAGGGGCGGCTGCATTTGGAGAGTCCTTCCTCAGGCGTGTTCCGGCTCTTCATCCAGAACATGGCTGTGCAGGACAGCGGAACCTACAGCTGCCACGTGGAGGAGTGGCTGCCCAGCCCCAGCGGCGTGTGGTATAAGCGGGCGGAGGACACGGCTGGGCAAATAGCTGTTACAGTCATGCGACCAGGTGAGGCTTCATGTCCCCAAGCCTCCACTCCCTTTGGTGTTTCCCTTTTAAGTATAATATTTTATACACTGGATAACATTAGTTTATTAATTAACAAATTATTTGCGGTTAAATATATGAGCATTTACATTATACATTTATATTCAAAATTGTCTTATTTTTTGTTCTTGCCCTGTGAATGGAAAATTGCACATCTGGCTTCGGCCTAAGGTGATTCCATTTCTTAATGAACATAAAATACTGCAATTAATTATTCCAGACCATAGTATGTTTTCTTTTTAAAGAATGCATTCAGATTTGGACAAGTGGTAGATATGACAAAAATCTAGAAACTATAATCATGTGGTTCAAAAGATTAAGTTTATGGATTTTCAGTGGAAAAGAATTGATTTCCATGTTTCAAATAGAGAACAATGAAGTATCTGCAACCTTCACTTCTAATAATTTTCTTGATACTAATGACTATTCTGTGTGGCCTTTTGCTTTTCTTTCTTGCTATTCCTAAAGTACCTAAATGCATGCAATTAGTAGGTATAATTGTTACAATTTAAACACCTAATTAAAGCTAAGATGTGTAGGATTTCTGTGTCCTTTGCAACATCGCAACATTATTCATCCATATCAGAGCAAAAAGTCAAGTCTCTGTAGGGATGTGGAGCAGAAATGAATTTGTGGCCTCTGTCGGTATGAGCATTTTTGTCATGTCTGTTCTCTGAGCATCCTGATGTTTGCATTTGTGGTCTTTGGTGCCATTGGAAGTTTTCATAATGTTTTCGTGCCTAAGCAGAGCAGCTCTTTGTGTTGGTGGAACACTGGAGCTTCACGGTTGCACTGTGCCCCCGTAGGTCGTGGAACACACTTTAGGGAGGTGAATACACACTTTGTTACAGGAAAGGGACATTATTTCACTGCCTGTGTCTTGGCTAAACTGGAGAGGAAATCACCTCTACTTTGAGTTACTCATGGTTTCTCATGAGCTTTTATTTAT